CAGGACCCAAACAACCTGGCTACATATAGCGCCCTTCTCATTCCCTAAATTACTCTGTAAGATGAGCAGGTAAGGACTACTTAGCCTGTCAAGATCCACTGCTGTGGTAAAATAAGTAATTGCAGCTACCTTGAAAACTATTTTCACATCTGTGAGAGCAACCACCCAGTTGTTCATTTTTAATTTTCCTCAACAATAAGTGCCAGCAATGTATACAGTGACTATTGCTGTCTGTCTCCAAGCTGCAGCCTCAACTAAGCTGCCAGTCACATACAACAAGCGACTGCCTACCTTGTTGCAGTTATCTTAGATGTGAGCTTCCCCAGGCAGACTAATTCAGATCTATTTTTGCAAATTACAGATTGTGTTAAATATACATGAAGGAGAGCATGGAACAGTTTTCTTTACTGCACAACATGAGTTATTTCCCATTCCAGGTTCCCTCCAAGAAAACTCTTAAATTTTAAAATCTGCCAATTAGTGGCAGTGACTACTGGTAAAACCTAATCCAGTCAAGCAGTAGTATTTGCGGAGTACTGCAAAGGGCAGGACAATGTTCCAAGAGAACAAAGGGACCAGGATCCCTGAAAAAAACAAGGAGCATGCAGTCATTTGCCCAAGATTCCTCTTCCTTTCACAAGAAACATAGGTTGAGTCATTGCCTTAATATGACAGTTAAACTATAAGCTTCACATCAGCCAGAAGAATCAGATTGTTACATGGACTGTTAATAGCTGCAGCACAGTTTAGGGCGATCATTTGAAATTTCTGTGTAGGAAAGAGCAATCAGAAAAGGAAACATAAATAAATTCCTCCTAGAAAACAAATTCCTTGACTACAAATGCTCAAACATGTTCAGTTTCTCTTCCCTCATTTCTTAAATTAAGCCACTTTGCAAGGACCATTCACTTTATCCTAATAAAATCAAGAGGATAAGACTGCTCTCTAAAAATATATAGGGATAAACACCAAAAAGGGATGAGGAACTATTTAAGCAAAAGGAAGAATCAAGCTGGAGAGCCAATGGCACAATCTCTCAGTGAATAAGCTAGCTTGGAAATTCAGAGAGGATTTTCAGCTGTTACAACAACTGGGTTCTGGACTCATTTTCTGATGGAAACAGGCTGGAAAAAAGACCTCAGACCAAACTTTAACCAGTTGTAAGATGAAACTCAGTAAGTTCGCTAACGGGGCTAAGTAGTATCTGCAAGACAAGATGCTGAAACAAGTAACAGATGCAAACTTGTTGACTGGTATCTGAGCAAACTGACTTTCAATAAGTGGAGAACACTGCTGGGACTATGGGCTCCACTGTGTTTATTATACAAAGGTAGGGCTTCATTCCTCTATCACGAATGACAGGCATCTGCTTCACCCATAAAAAGAGCTGCCAATTTTCAGTCTGGCATGTGGCCAGTGAGCTCAATCACACCTGAGATTTATGAAATGTACAACCCACACTTTTCCACTAGGTGCTGAACTGCTGACTTGCATATGACACACAGGAATACTATTCTGGTATGTTTTTATCCATCTGTCTCAGCTCCAGGAGGCTCACAGGTAACGTCAGACTGCCCTGAGGCTATATTCACTGTGTCTGTAGTTGGTTCAACAGGATACCCCAATTGTCCCTGATGCATTTATAACAAATGTATTACATGGTAACAGAGAGTATCTCTTTTCATACTGCTACTGCTTCCAGGTAAGCTCTCATGGGATCTGGGGCAAACCTTTAAGCTGTTTATTCGTGTGATGTTTGGATGTTGGATGAAGATTAATCTGAATGCTACTAAAGCAAGTAACCTCAAAGTTCCTGATATAGAGGCACTTTTGCAGGAGGAGTTACCTTCAAGTCACGTACCACTGAGTGAGAAGATTAGGCTGTGACCTGCTGGGCAGTCAGCTGTTGTAACTATGAACTCTGCTGCCTCCAGGGTCAATGGTCTATTGTCTCCGTAATTAGAAGAGATACACAGCTGATTTCAACATTGTTGCTGTCCTGTGCTAGCTTCTACCTTTAACTGACCAGTTGGGTATAGGTTGCAACAGGTATCTGATATTCTCAGGACCACAAAGAGCAGAAACTCAAGACAGGTACCAGCTGGAGTCCAGTATTACTCCAAATCAATTCTTTTGACCAGCAGAATCAAAACTTGTCCTGCCAGTTGACAGTGATCTACTTTGACAGACAGTATGATGGAGGCAAATGTCTGACCTCTAGACAATTTCTGTTGAGTCACCTGAGATCCTACATAAGAGTTTTTTAGTTCAGTATCAGGACACTCTGATGGTAAATGAGTCTCCACCTGAGGACAGGATTTGAGGTCCGCTGATCTAGTCTTTCATGTTAGAACAGATTCTACGAGTCAGCACTTGATCCAAAGAAGTTACTACGGTGACAAATGGTCAGAAATGAAGATAAAGACAATTACATATTTGGAAGTAAATAGAGTAATAAAGTTCTCCAATGAAAACTCTTTTGTTCTATTAAACATTATTGCAGGATATGAGATTGCTGACACAATAGCGCTGTTCCCATTTCTCAACTGATAACATATTTATGCAATGTATACATTCACATTTCCCTGACCCCACCTCCATGGGAACTACAAAATGTATTTTAGGGACTAGTACTTCAATATATGATTTCATTAGTAGAACTAAGGTTTTATAATGTAAAGACAAATAACATTCTGTAATAGTTCATAAATAACTGTTTAGCCATTAACACTTTAATAGGTAAACTTAAAAATGATGTATTTAAGTAAATGTTGTTCTTGTGTTTTATATTATTTGCAGAAACGTTTAATGTACTTACATTTTATAGACCAGATACTACGTTTCATTACTCGAGAAAAAAAGTTCTCATGTATCACATGTTGACTCATACTGTATATGAAAAGGGGTAGTTAAAATCAAGTGAAAACCTTGAATCTTCCAAAATTTAAAGTGTTTCACCTATAAAAAGATACTACTGCAATTCTTAAGGTAGGAAAGATTTCTGGGGAATAGTAATACAGATTATACAGCTGGAAAAAAACAACACAGAAAGTCTTTACATATATGAGACTTGCTTTACTTTTCAAATACACAAAAAATCTTCCAAGTTAAATTGAGTCTGAAAATTGTGACCCAGTTTAACCCAGTTTTGTTATTTGGGGTTTGGTTTGTGGTTGGCTTTTTAAAGGAAATGTTGCTGGGTTTCTGTCAACAGCTGGTAGACAGTTTGGTACCCCTCACAGAGCAGAGTAAAGGAATAGATAATGGGATAAGTAAAACACAGAGTTTATCTAGAGGTTGGAAAATTCTAACAGGCAATACAAACAGGCTTGGTTTTGGCTTCACCAACAGTATTCAGGAAGCCTTTTGGTGTACTGGGCAAAATATACATATTCTAGGAAGTGCACCAGTATAAGATCCATGGAGTCTAGAATTCTCCTTGGGGCCATTAAAGGGGAAAGAAACACTCTGGAACTTTCATTACCTAAAGATGGTCTGGTATGTGCTTGGTTGCCTGAGTGTCTGTTTCTAGAAACATGTTTATTGAGGTTCTGGAAACTCTTTGATAGCTACAGACCAGGGTGAGGGAGAGGGAAAGGTTCTGGGGAATTTTTTTCCTGTATAGGCTCTAATTACTTAATGATTTTATTAGATCCAAAATAGGCTGACCTGTCCATATGACTTGCCTTGCAGCGGTATGCTCTACAGCAATTTGTACAGGAACTGTGGGTAGCTTACTCAAAGATGAAAGTCACATCTCTACAGAGGAGTCCTGGCTGGCTGAGTATCTTTTTAGATCACAGAAAGTGATATGGCTGTAACCTCCTCAGAGCACATACAACTTTGTTTGAGAACCTGGCTGTGCATCAAAGCCTTTGTGGTGGCCTCAGGTCAACTTTAGGCTTTACAGAAACAGGTATACTGCTTGATGGGGTTGCCTTTTAAGTCAGTCCCAGTGTTCACAAAGTTACATTCATACCAGGTGTATTTTAGAGAGAGTTTGATGAAGAGGTGACAGTTACGGAACCTGTGATTAAAACTGGTGGGAGTCCACCAGTCACCAGGAAGTGAGTACATACCTCTGTGAAAGGCATGATAAACCTGCAGTTAAAGCAGAAGCATAGGCTGTCAGTAGAGCTAGAGGATGACTTTTACTCCTGGCTTTCCACAGATTTCCTTATAAGCCTGGATTAAATGACCATTTTCTCCTGAGATACTATGCAGATAATTCGCAGGGTATTGCAGAGCTACATTAATGTTCCCTAAACTGGCTGAGCCTCAGACAGAAGATACTATGTAGTAACCCTCTACACACAGCTCTGATCCTGAAAGATGGTAAAGACAAAATTCAGAGATCAGGCAAAAATGTGAATAAATCTCCCTCTCCCCCCCTCTGAGAATGTCTCTTTCCCCAGGTTGCTGGGGAGCAAATGTCCCCCAGTCTCAAAGAAGCTGTCAAACTGAAAGGGGCCAGAACAAGGAGAGGCATGTGTGGAGTCAGGAAGAGAGAGCCAGGAAAACTGCATGGAGAAAATGCAAAATACAAACAACTGAATGTGAAAAACACATAAAACATTTTAAATTAACAGAAAATAAGATCCAAAAAAAAACCCAATGAAGAACTTCTAGAACTGATAAAATCATCCAGTTGCAAAACACAACCAGAAGCTGAACCAAAATGATTTTATTAGATTGAAAAAGAATTAAGATTAGCTGTACGTTCTTTTTAACATGTATGTAAATATTAACAATCCCTCAGCTGCCTATTAATTCACATGTGCCATATTTACACTATTTATGATATTATACCCCATGCTGGGACATCCCATTACAGAGTCACGGTAGTGGCTCCATACTTAAGGTGAATTCTGCCACACATCCCCCCCTTTCCTGCTATTCTCTTGCAAGTAAGATTACTTTTGGGCAAGAATTTACCATTTGGTTTCAGCCCACAAGGATATCTCTTCGGGAACTGACAAACTGATTTAAGCAGCTGTGGATTAATTTACTGGGTTTTGTGTTTTATTAAAAGAGAACAAAAGGCTTTGAGAGTTTTCAGTGTTTTATGCAACAACAAGAACGTTTGGCTTAGAAACTGTCCACTTTTTCTTAGACTTTCCCCTTGCCTCCAATAAGGATCATATTTGATGGCAAATTTGACTGCAACCATTGGCAAGTGTATCTTTCCCAAGATGCATGTCTAACACAGCCTTTTAAAAATGCAGATGGACCTGGGGAGAGAGAAGGTGCCAGAGCAACAGAGCCCAAATCAACATTAGGTGAATATAAACAAAAATAACACTTAGGTATGAAACATGCTTCAACTAGGTTTCCAGATCCCCAAATGTCTAATAAGGAAACGTTAAGCAGCATTATCCCACTCTACAGATGGAAGAACTGAGATGGAAAAGCAGAATATGACAAAGACAAAAGATGTCTCAAAATCTGGAGTCATAATTCCTAATTTAATATTCCTCCTGTGAGGCCTCTTTGCTTATTATAAATAAACTATTTTCCCCTTAGATTTCAGTTGCAAAAGTAACTTTTCAACTCCGCAAAAAAAAAAAGGGCCAACCCTCATCCAAGGAAACACTGGAAAGCTTAATCAAGGTTTGTGAAGCACTCAAACTACAGGAAAACCCCCCAGGAGGAAGTTTGTATTTCCATATTCTGACCAGGGTTTGAAAGGCATGCAATACATACAGCCCGGGGGAAACAGCAAACAATACAAATAAAGTAAAATATTGAGCAGCTGCTCCTTAAGTGAATACTGTTCATCCCAAACACCAAACTTCATTTCTGCCTCAGGCTGCAGGGAGTAAAGGGAATCAGACTGAGGCTGAAATAAAAATGTACTTCAAAGTGTTAAATAGTAGCAAAGTTATAAAAAACTGAACTTGTTTCTTATAAAGGAAAATACCAGAGAGTCTTTACAGGCAGAACTGTAAGCCTCACTCATTATTGTATTAGAAATACAACTGGGTTGGATAGTAAAAGAGGTCTGTGATGGACCAGGTTAACTTTTGCAGAGATGAAACATCTTTCAAGCTATAAAAACTACCTGGATATCTCCAAACTCATACAAAGCCCCATCATTCTTAAAGGAGGAGGAGGGAAGAGGTTACATCAGTGCTACAAAGTAAGAAAGTTCAAAATACTACAGTAAGCAAAGATGGTGAGATCTGCCTAGAACTAAAAACCAGAGAAAGCCAACCTCATCCACACAAGCTTTTCTTTCCAGCACATGTTTACTGTTACCTACCTAAAAGTAAGCAATGCAAAGTTGATTGCGAGCTTACAGCACAGCCACACAAGCAACCTGTACAGTTTACAGGCTGCAGCGTGTCGATTCCTCTTGCAAACTGAGCAGATTCTAGTTACTTTTCAGTATCAGAAAGTGGGATACCTACAAGCGAAGAGAGCCTGTGTCCTGCTTAGAAAAATGAAAGAAAAAGCAGCACAGACACCAGGCATGGAATGACAGAGCCTCACTCTTCAACCATTACTTCTCTGGGAATTATGGGGAAGGAGAAAAGAAATGCCTGGAAAACACAGCGCAGAGAACAAGGAAGACAGAAAAGGAACCATGTTTATCAGAAGTAGCTGGATTTCCCTGCACTGTAAACAAAAATCCTATTTCATTACATTTCTTATTTCCTTTCCCAGAAATTGCCCCCTAATATCCCTCTTCTCCTCAGATTATTTTTTTTCCCTTTATAAAAAAACTAGTTTTACTAAGACTGCTATTGAGATGTGACAGGCGTTCATGCCAGCGTCTAATTTTAGAATGTACTTGAGAAATTTGTGATTTTCTCAAACCACTGAGAAAAAAAAAATAATAATCAAGTCAAGCTTCTTAGCAATTACAGCAGCCAAATATTTCAAATTAGGCTTTCTTGTTGCAAGTGAATAAACTGAAAAATACGGGTGGAAAAAAAAAGAAAAAAAGCCCATTGACAAAAATATACCAGCAAAAAGGAGCATTAGGGAATCAATGCAGTATTTGCTCTCTCTTCTTTTTTTTGCTGCTGAAAGCCACATGGCACACACAGTATTTTTAACTGAGGAGTCTCATTTCAAATATATGCCGAGGAATCTTATTTCAAACATATACTAAATAAGGAGGGGAGTATTAAAACAGGCAGTCCCTTACTCTAATTTTATCCATCTCCCTCCTCTTCTTTCCTCGATGCAGCACAAGTTTAAATCTGATACAGAACCCTGTGAGTGTCTCTCTTTTTTTTTGTAAACAGTGATCAACATTTTCCTAAATGACCCCCGAAAGGACCTACGTTGAAACTACTCATTAGTAACAGCCACGTTTGCAATATTAACCTGGATGCGGCTGTTTATTAAGATCTTTTAAGGGGTTTCGAATGAAGACACACTGCCGGTGTACAGGGAGCACAGAAGGGGTAATTTAAAACCCATGTTTTTCCTCCCCCTCACCGAAAACATGCCCAGCATTGTGCAGCTGTGCTGCCAGCTTCATCACTCCCTCCATCTCCACTCTTGCTAATTAAAAGGTTGATCACAGAACAATGCTCTTCTCATTAATTTCAGCTTTCTGATTGGGCAGGATTCCCGCTCGCTCCGCCTGATCTTTTCCACACTGCTGAAGTTAATGTGACAGGAGCCCGAAGATGGATTACCCGCTGCCATATTGCCCATCACCTCCAATCAGCAGCTATCTGGGTAAACTGATTGTTCTAATTTGCTCTCATTATTTTTACAATATCAGGAGAAAATAACGCACACAGCTCACTGTCAAAGCTGTGAAAATCAGCCATTAGTTAAACCCAGACACCGAGTGGCTTTATTAGAAGCACTGCAGTTTATTGATGCAGCTTTGGTAGGCTAAGATAATACCTGCCCTCTTCAAACATGCTTTTTGAGGTGTATTTATGTTCAAAGAAAATATTTACTAGGACACTTTTGGAGATGCTCGCAGTCTCAGCTGTTATCTTTATATGCTTGCTGACAATGAAGATTACGAACAATGGAGGCTTGACTTCCACATTAAGGAGGGCACAATATATGCAGCATTAACCACATGGCAGCCTGCACATCTCAGCTATTATTTTACAGTTTAAACAAAAACTATCTCAGTACTAATATGACAGGTAAGAATGTAAATACACCCCAAAACTGCAGAAAACACTGTACTACCATAAAGGCAAACATGGTACAGGTGAAATGATGTGAGCTGTGTGTACAAGGTCAACAATTTAGTTTTGGGTTTGGTTATTTTGCTAAGCAAAGGAGCCTGCATAGCCCAACCAGAAAACACAGGGACCGAAAGCTAGAGCTACAGATACGGGAAACTGCTCTGGGCGGCTGGGAACTATTTTTTCCCTACAAAAGGCATTGTGCTGCCACAACTTGGGAATGAGTCAGAGCAGAAATGTCACTCTATGCTGAAGCCTCACAGGATCCCATAGCTAAGAAAATAAAGTATTGTTAGTGATATGAAGTCAGGCATTTTTACACCACAGCAGTGGTAAGAACTACACTGAAAATCTTGGACCTCTGACAGTTTCTATGCTATATATAAAGGGACCTACATTATTTTGCCTGCTGCCTAGCTGCATCTTAGCAAAAGGAAATGCTAAATAGAGGGATTAACAGAAATATGATATCTTAAATCTTGCTAAATATAAACCTTAAACTGGTGTCTACGATGTTGTAACTTGGAATGTGCTCTAAGAGTGACAGGCAGAGCACAGCAGACTGATTTTACTTTTAAATAATACCTAAATTAGATTAGTTCTTTGTGTAGATCTGCATGAACCAGAGGGGACATTCATCATTGTGCCAAAAAAGTTAAATTCACTGGGGTACGCTCAAAGTGAATGGTTCTAGACCTACGTTTTATCTCTCAGACACATCATCAAGATGCTGTGCCAATATGCACGAAGCCTGCTAGGAGCTGCAAGAAAGACAACGGGAAAGTAACTGGATACCAAAAGAGGTTTAAATTTCCCCTTTGTAGGTTACAAATTGTTTGGGACAGGATCCGAGGCTTCTCTGTCTTGTAAGCACAGAGCATCCCTTTCAATACGTGAGCTTCTTTTTTAATATTTAAACAGCTTAAATATAAGGAAGGGTATTCTCCCCGTTCCCCTCCAAACCAGATGTAATTCTAGTTCTCCCTCCCCCTCCTGCTGTCATTTAGAATGCTACAATTTCCATTACTGCTTTTTAAATATTTTTAAGTCCTCATCAGCCAGAGCCTTGTATTTGGGGGCTGATGGTTCCTCCCTCCTAGACAAGCCACCTCCCAGCTTTGTTTGGTATCTCTTTTGACCCTTCCTAATGGTTTTCTCTTGGAGGGGCGTGCCATGCTTTTCTCCTTAAAATTCCTGCACTGAAAGACTGCACCACACCACACTCCACAAAACGTGCTGATGGCACAAATTACAAGCCCCCAGCCGAACACTCCAGCCCCCACCATTCGGGCAGATTTATGTGGGCTCTTGCCGACGTTATTACAAGTCAGAGTTTATTGGGAAATTGTTACATTATGCGGAGTGTCTAACAAATTGCTTATGCTGCTATAATTGGATTACAACAGCCGCTTGCTCCCACCGGTAAGATTAGGCAAGTAGGACTCCTGCCGATCTCTGAACGTTAGCAGTAATTTTATTTGCCTTGCCTCTCTCTTTCCTAACAACATGCCTCTTTCCCTGCCAGCTGTCTGCTGAAAAGGCACAGGCTTGTTCCTTGGCCCTAACAATGCAATTACAGCCCTGCAGATCGCACTGTTTGTGCATTAAGTACAGAGCCAAAACGAGGCGAATTGATCGTTTGACTTTTGGAGGAGCCATGTGATCTCTGCATGCGGGTGATCCGGCATGCATCGCTGGGCAATGGTGCAGCACACGCCTGGCGATGAACTCGCTCCACGCTGTTTCCCCTCCCCTGGCCGCTCCTAACAGCAAAGATGCTGGAGCATACCCCATGTTAACCCCCACTGGTCTACAAACATAGGCTCGTTTTTAGCAGCTTTCTTGCTAGGCTAAACTCAGAATTTACTGCAGCTTCTGAAATGTGAGCACTTGGCTACACCAATGGCATCCCCACTGTGGGCTACACTATCAAATAATTATTCCCGTGTTTCACACCACAAGCTTTAGCATAAGAACTGGACGCATTTTTCAAGCCACTTTTTCAATTCTTGCATTTGAAAAATACTGAAAACAGATCTAGTTAATGTCACGTTAATGGTATTTATATTCTCCACCATCTGAGGGTGCTGCCACTGCAGGAGACTGCTGAAGAAGCGATGCTTCTCTTCACATTCACCACCATTTACCACTAAAGCCACCAATGATTTGTATTCCAAACTGTTTCACATTTCCAGCTCAAAAGAGCCCAAAGTACAAGTACAAGTCCAGTTTGTTTCAGAACTTACCCAGGTGAACACTCCCTATGAGCTTAATGTAACAGGACTTGAATGAAGATCTCAAGGCTGTAATTTTTTTATGCAGAGTATCAATCACCAAACCAGCAAACACTTGAGGCGGAACTACAGCATGTGACACTACACAGAACAGAGGTGCAGGGGAATTTTGATTAAGGATGCGAGGTTAAGTTCTAAATTTTATAAGATTTCTGCAACATCTTTACTGTCTATATGTGGAGAGGATTCTGGGATGATTCAGCATGGAAGGGACCTCAGGAGTTCTCCAACCCAACCTCCTGACCAATGCAGGCTGCATTATGAATCAGACCTGGTAGCTCAGGGTTTCATCTAAACTGGTCTGGAAAACCTCCAAGGACTGAGGCTGCAGAGCCTCCACAAGCAACCTGTTCCAGTTGACTGTAATCACCACAAGAAAGTTTTTCCTTAGAACCAGTCACACCTGAGGAATTTCCAGGATCTGTGCAGGAACCCTGCCAATATTTACTGAACTCAACTTCAGAGGTGAAACAATCTGCTTTCTCGTGATTTCAAACCCAGGGCTCCAAAAAGTAGAAACATCTCCATTGAGATGACTGAACTCTGCAAATGATTCTTCGTAGCAACATTCTGCATATCACCTGACTGACCATCCTTACTGCAGAGCTTTGAGACCTGATCTCCAGAATACACTCAGAGACCGCCAGTTACAGAGCAATTTATGAGTTAACTATAAGTATTATAGTTATGAGTTAACTATAAGTAATTATATTACTATTTCTTTAATTTTGCATTTAAAAAAAACAAGGTTTTTACTTTTTTTTTTTTAATTCACGGCTTCACTGACATGCAAAATCATTTTGGGTGTTAAGAGAAGCATAAACGACAACCACTGCACAGCATTCGTGTAACTGAAAACTAAAGAAGCCTGTTTACATGTAGTTTAACACGCAAAAGAAACTCTGAACAGCTGAAATGCCTTATAAATAGCTCAGACCCAGAGGAAGTGCAAACGTCTGCATTGTGAATTGTAGATCTTAATTACAGACAATGGCTGGTACAGCAAGTAGCACGGAAAAAAAAAAGTGAAACAGTTGCACTG